ATTTAAGCAACTAAAACCATTCTCAACTAGAATAGTATGAAATTTCTACGATTAGTCAATTTTGGCACGTGGCATGTCGTGACGTATTTACGAGTATCAATTTTAATTTCATTATGCCGTCTTGTGTTATTACTACGAGTAAAAATGCGACTGGAATTCCGAAAAAAGTGGATAACATTACATTTCATCTGCAAGCATCGACTGCAATAGTATATTTAATTAATTATGGTTTTTTTTTTTATCTATTTATTTTTCTATGAAAATGATGCGGCCATTTTGTGAGTGTTGTCATTTTTGGTGAAAATTTTACCCACTTATTTATTTGTTGTGGGTTATATTTTTGTCCATTATGGAGCCTATGTCATATTAGTTTCCCTGACAAAAAATAAATACAAATCATACAAAGGGCACGGTTAGATTAATTTTGGAAACCATCTAGCCAGAGCATAGTTTGCTCAATTCACCTTGAAGAGATATATTTATGACAAAGTTGGTTTGAAAACAGCATATCCTACTAAGATATATCTATACTAATTATAATGCTGAAGAGTTTGTTTTTTTGTTTGCTAGAATGCGCTAATCTCAGGAACTTAGTAAAGTAAGTAGACTTCTAATCTTTAGTTCCGAGTCTAAAGACAATACATATAAAAAACTAAACCAGCAAAAGGGAACGCAAGAAAACCTTTGTACTTATTGAATCTTTATTTTATTTGTTGTGTATAGTAGGTGTAACTAAAATTAACACGGCCAGAAATCGTCAACTTTTATGATACCTCTATGAAATGTGTGAACAACTAATCTGTTGCATTTATCGTAAGTTTACCTATTTTGTTGGGTTTACTCGTATTTTACCCTTCTGTTGTAAAATTACCCCAAACCAAGGGAATTGTTCCACTGTCGGCAACACTACGCGGGTGGGAAGTGCGGCTGGCGGGGGGATTGACGTATTGTTTTTGGACACATTCGACGACATGTAATTATGAGTGAACGCGGATTCTGGTTTGTTCTGTATTCTGAGGATATAAAGAGAGTGGTGCGATTGATCTTGCAGGGGAATATTGAACGGAAAATTTAATCATAGTAGGGACTTCAGAAAATGATTAATCACTTGAACACTCATAAAACATTTTCCAGTACGCGTTAGTAAAAAACGACTATAGTATTGTAAACATTTAGTTGTACAGAGGTAATGACATCTGATACAAGTGTGCCACCTGCTTTAATTAGTTTTTATTAACTATTTATGTCAACCAGTTATTTTAGTTTATCTTAGCCTACAATACGACTTGATCTTCCCATATTCACTAAAAAGCTTCCGTAGTCTAAAATATGTAGATCACAAAAACCTTTTGTACACTTCTAAAAAAGCAAACACTTAAATAATTATTTTCATTAACGACTATCAAGATTGTTATTGTCATGTAGGTACATGTGTAATGTTGCTATGACGATTCACAGCAGACAGAGTCACGCTAAATTAATAACATATTACTGTAATGACAAAACATATCGTAACGCAAGTCTCCGCAAACCGTTTGAGTCAATGTTTGCATTGGTGCCATTTTTGTATGATATCGTATCTTATCGAAATTTTCAACAGAAAAGCAAGTCTCTTGTATTAAGCTTACGCAGCATTTTTATTGACTAAAAGTACGGATGATGACTAGGCAACTTTTGCCTTTACTTGTACATTCATAATTTTGTATATCTTTCTCATGTATAGGTATATTTATTCAGACAGGAAAATAGGTTTTTTTAAAAGCGACTTTTAATGGCACCACTGCGTTCATCGTTGCCGGTCATGATTTTAAAATAGATATACCGTCAACACTGATAGTGTGTGTGTTTTTCGTGCAATATCTGAATAATAACACGATAGGAACCAAAGACAATTTAATGTTAGACGTTTGAAAAAATGGTCATGTAAGAATTTTAAGTTACAGAGAAAATCGTCAACTACATAAATTACCTATCCCGCTTCTAGATATCCAAGTATGACTATTTTCGCATTTGACAAGTATCTAGTTGCGGTTGCAAGAAGATACTCGTCAAATGCGCAATACCGTGGCTGCGGCCACGAGCAGGATATAAAACGGGGTGGTTTTTAGCCCGCTTACCCTAACCAGGTAGGAATAGGAAAACCGGTGCTTTTCGTCCCTAATATTATGTAAAAAAAAAACTTTCCTCAACCTGAAATTTCAATTTACTTTTTAAATAGTTACATTACTTAAGTATGTATTGTTGTTCGGTAGATAGCGGATCTGGGTGTTTGTTATCGCACCTGTGATACAGGAGAAAGTCCTAAAGTGAGGGTGGAGGCAACGTTGTTAAAACAAGAGCGAGTCGTGCAACATTTGTTACATACACGGTTATTACAGGGGAGCTACTATTTAATTTTTAGTATTTCTTGTGTAGCTATCATGGTTCATAAATACGTCGTGGTGATAGACAGACAGACAAACGAATTTACGAATAGACTGGCTTGACCGGAGTGACACCTCACAGAAAACCAGCGTGAAACAACCACAGCGTTGTGTTTCGCCCAGAGACTGATGTTACATGAGGCACAATTCTTGCCCACCTCCCCATACCTTCCAAAACCCTAAATCTTTACAACCTCTTTATTTCCAAAAGGCCGGTAACGCACTTGCAATTGCTCTGTTGATGCGTTTGTCCATGAACAGCGCCGAATACTTCCCATCAAATAAATCTGTACGCTTGTTAAACGCCGTAGGTGTCATATAAAAAGTCAAACGGTAAGACAGCGGCATTTTAGTAATAGGATTCCCCCTTTTACGATCGTACGTACGTACTTTGCCTGGTTAAGAGTTAATCACACACACAGAACACAACATCCTCAAAAATTACACAGTCATCTAAGGTCTATTGATATTGACACATCAGAAGGTACAATAACGACATGTATATATCTAATATCTCTACGTCTCGCGATGTGTAATGTTATCTCAATTAACTCAGGAGAGTTCAAGAGTTATCAATTTATTCTAAAAAAGTCGGTACTGTGCACTCGTCTGGGTGGGCGCTCGGCAGATTACCTAAGTCTCTACTAATAAATTGTGATAAAGTAAACATTTGCGCGCGACATCGTTCAAATTACTTTAGACCTGTTCAGTCTTGATTCTACAAATCCTACTTATATTATAATAAACTAGCTTTTGCCCACGACTTCAGTTACGTGAAAAGGTGACTACCTGCATATTTGCTTTTATTTCCTTGGTATAAAAACTATGCTATGTCCTTTCTCGAATTCCAAACTATGTCTGTACAACATTAATAAAAAAACTTGGGAAAGTTTCAGCTCATATAAGATTTAAAAGCTACTTTCAGCACATAAAGAACAATAGTTGCTTACAAGATGATTTTTTGATAAAAATAGAAATGGGTCCTAGTTAGCTAGGGTTTTTTTTAACGTGATTAGAGCCATTAGCAGAAGCTTTAGATACTCTATGTATTAACAAACCACTACAATAATAGTAAATTGAATAAAATAGCTATGCAGTGGCACCACAACAGTATCATAAACAAACACAGCATATCACATTTCAAGGGCAAACTACATTTGTTAGACACAATGTTAATTGGTGGAAATTGTTTATCCATATTGAACTGAAGCTGCAAAGAAGTATTAAAGAGGTATCAATGACATTCAACAATTATCTAATGATAGGTACTTCACCATGTAAAGTCAGTACAGTCATCATAAATGGGAAAAAATAAAAGAATGATACATTTATTCTAATGCTAAGAGTTTAAAAAATACAATGGAATAAAAGAACAAATTGTAAAATCAACCTCTAATAATCCCAGGTCTTGTAAACTAATCTTAGAATTTTAGACTGCATGGTTGGCGTGGTGGCTGGGCAACTGGCTGCCGCGCAACGTGTCGCGGGATTGATTCCCGCACAGGACAACTCTTTGTGTGATTTCAATGTAAAATAAAATAAAACGTTATAATATTTGATTATTTTTATCTTTCATTCATTTATTACATACATAGTCGCAAATATAATAAATAAAAAGCTGTGGATATTAAAAAATTGCCTTTTATTAGAAAACTAGATTATCTTTAGTCTAGGTTTAAACCATTGAGTCAGTTTTTGAATTTTGAATCTTATTCTCACCTAACTTTTATTCGAAATAACATACATGCTCAATGGTTTAGACTTAAACTAACCAAAAACCATAATTTGGGTCAGTGGATAGCCTTAGGGGATTTTTGTTATAAGGCTATTCAAGGTTTCTTTTTGTATATATAAATGAATATTATTCCAAGAGGCAATTTCATGAAAATGTGAGGGTAGTTTGATTTTTGTCTTTTCAAATGTACATAACATTTATGAAGCATTTAATTTAAATGGATGATAAAAAATAATGACTTCCCATCATGCATTTGTTTAAAAATACATGAATAAAATTGGAAATATTCAAATATTTTTTTATTGAATCCTACATATACATTCACTAAGGAGGTTTGTATAAATAATAAGACATATTGTTAAAAAATTCTCAGTGGTTACAAATTTAAATTATTAGATCCACATAAACTGACCACATAAGTTATTATATAAAGGACACATGTATTTTATCTACATACATAACCTACCTCAACACATTTAAATAATAAAACAAAGAGTATTCTCACATAAAAAATATAATATTATCATTGATAAGATTTTTAGAACAAATACTTATATAGTGTACTAGGGACACAATTGTTTGAAGAGACTTTAACATATATATCTGTTCCAATAAGGAAAATTTTCGAATTAATCCCAAGCAATGTTACATTATCTTGTTAAATTAATGTATGTAAGTATGTACGTTATGTTTACGCTAATTTTACTGCACACGGAAGAAATACTACGTATCTAAAGCAATCAATAATCAACTTATCTATATTTATCTTGAACTTCACCAGAATTAATAAGTCAAATAAACAATTTGTCCTCTTACAAAATAATGTACTAGGTAGTACTCACCGGGATCGGAGCAGTTTGATAGCTTGGTGATAAGCCCGTCGGCGTAATAGCTATCGAGCACATAGTTTGGCTCTGTAAGTTTTTCAAATAATAGTTTTATCTTATTTTGTATCTTAACACACTCCATTTTCTTGTTGATCTCTCCGCAGTTAACATGAAGAACAACACTACAGTTAAACTGTTGAAGCAGGTATTATTTATATTACTTTACTCGCTAGATAACTAACAATATCCATAAAGATTTTTGACAAAACAAACTTTATCTTCAACAATTAAATTCTTTCCATGCTCCCACCGTTCCTGATCAACTTCAAACTAATTTAATTGCCACAGACTACATATACCTACCGCTGTCATACGATTGACAATGTCATTTTGACACTGACAGTAAAAACAGTCTATGGCTATTAAGTAGCAAATTAAAAATCGACTAAAGAAAGTTATTTTCGATTTATTAGTACTACCAAACAAAACAAAAAGAATGCCGGGCATGTATATCACTAATCACTATTATCATCTCCGCTCTCTGCCCCATAACGTAAAAATCAATCTTCCGATCATGTTATATAATCAAAAAGAAAGACGTAGGTTCTTTTTCATTCTGACGGATGTAAAAGGAATTCCCAACTAAATTAAAGCTAAAATTACCCACGTTAACTAAATGTGTTCCCACTTTATCATTTCTAAAACAAAAAAAATATGTTTTAGTTTAATATGAGACAGACATATAAATCAGTAGCGGACCAAACAATATTGCCCTATTGCATATATTCTGAGTGGATGTGGAGGAACCTTCGGACAATACGTGCCGGGTCCAGAAATGCCATAATATACATATAACGTAAGCCTACACCTACTCATGTTTTATAAATATTATATTATATTATAATAATTGTGATAAACGATGCCTTATGCATATAATACAATAAAGTGGCTGCCAACGACAAAATTTGTTATTAGCCCTGACGAAACACGACCATACTTATTAGCAATCCTGTCTGGTGTTAAATTAAACTCAATTTGCGCCCTGCTCAGTTCAGCCGCGACGAATACATATAAATGGCACCGCCTATTATAATGTGACGGAAAAGTGGTTCAACCTCTTTGACATCATGACGTCAATGGATGGTTGTCAAACGTTGCCTAGAGATTGTAAATTTCGTCGTGAATTGTCAACACGAGTTGGTGTAATCGGTAAGGCGTGTGGATTACACCACAGAGACCCCGAGTTCGAGTCCCGCCGTAAACATAGAAAGAAAGAAAGAAAAACATTTATTTGAGACTCGCACAGAAAATAAATACAATTACATTTTATATATACAAAAAGAAAAAACAAACAAAAATAATAAACAGAACAACAACAAAAAAATATTAAAATAAAATAAAAGACCTGTGCGAGGTCAAAAAGGCCACTATCTCAGCATATGCTGCGATAATTCACCAGTAGGTAAAAATACCGCAGCGCTGGTATTCTGATAGGGCCTGGTGATGCCACGGACATACTCACGGAACACAGAAACAGATTAACATATATAAATATATAGAGTTATATAAATATTAGATATATATAAAAATTATAAACAAAAAAAAATAATAGTAATAAAATACCTACTAAAAATATTCTATAAATAGTGTACAAATATAAATATAAATGACAAGAAAGATGTAGTTGTGCACACAGAACAATACATCAACACCAACGCGTGAGTAAACATGTAGTTTTTTAGTTGATAGAAGTTTTGTGGAACTTTCTGGAATTATTTGTGTAAAAGAAATGAAAAATTAAAGAGCGAGAAGGAGAATAAATAAAAATGAGTAACGAAATTATTGGAAGGTTCTGGAGTCATGACGATCAAAAAGAATAACGAAATTGAATGTTCCAGAACCTGAACCGGGGGTATATAAGCGGAACTGCGGCTCACCGCTGGCAGTTGAGTTCTAAGTCTAAAGCGATTCGGAAGAAAAGGAAGAAGTGAAAAAGAAGAAAAGTGAGTGAAATAGTGAAGTGCAGTGAAATAGTGAAGTGCAGTCAGTTAAGTGAGTTAAGTCAGCGTGAACGGCAAAGTTGTGTCAGTCGGCCGGACTCTGCTGGAGAGGAACGCCGATAACTTAACTCCGTGGACGCTGTAACTCAAGTGCAATAGAAAGTCTGAAATCTGGTATTAGTGTTTCATTTCATCCAATCCCGTAACCCAAGCCCGCATAGTCAGGAACGTGACGTCAGGCACGTAACATTTGGTGTCAGAAGTGGGATTGGAGAAAAATGCCGCTAGTGCCGCAGGACGTAAGAGGAGTGAGTACCCGTGCAATGGCAGAAGCGCAGCGTGTGAGGGAAGAGAGTGCTGCAGCTCAAACCAGCGATGCAGAAGCCAAGCCTGTGCAGGTGGATCTACTGCTACAGCTGCAGCAAATGATGGTAGAGCAAGCGCGCCGCCAAGAAGAACAGCTACGGGAGCTGAAAGAAGATCAAGCTCGTCGCCAAGAGGAGCATGCACGCTGTCAGGCGGAGCAGCTACGGGAGCTGAAAGAGGATCAAGCTCGCCGCCAAGAGGAGCAAGCGCGTCGCTTGGAAGACATGCATAAGGATTTCACGAAGGGACTGCAAAAGGCTGTCGAACGGGTACAAGAAGTGGAGGAAGGGTTAGGCAAGTTGGAACATCGCGTCAAGGCGATAGAGGAGAGAGTGGAAGAAGAGATCTCCAAAATCAAGCAGGAAGTGACAAGCCCAAGCCCTTTGAAGAGCCGAAGCCGTCTTGCAGCCGTTTTTGAAGCCCCAAATGCGGCTTCAAGTGCAACGAAAGGGCTTAAGATTCCCCATTACGACGGAACAACATCCTGGACCGCGTTCAAGCTACAGTTTGAGACACTTATGGAGGCTTATGGTTGGACTCAGAAGGAAGCACAGTCAGCCCTTACCCTGGCCCTCCGTGCTCAAGCGCTCTCAGTGCTGGAAGCTATCGGCGCAAGTGGGGATCTCAGCTTTAGTGCCCTCCTCGACGCACTTGAGGCACGTTTTGGAGACAGCCACCTCGAGCACGTGTACAGAGCGCAATTAAAAGAGCGTACTCAGCGTGCTAATGAGGGCCTACAGCAATGGTCCGTGGAAATCGAGAAACTTGTGCGTCGAGCTTTCCGGTCGACTCCGTCAATGATTGAAGGCACGCTTCTCCAAGCGTTCATTGACGGTATTCGGGACCCCGAAGTACGAGCCGCTGTTCATCTGGGCCATCACAAGAACATGAAAGAAGCTCTGGCCCATGCATTGGAAGTGGAAGCCGTGCGTGGTAACTCCCGTACCTTTTGTCTGCGGGAAATGACGACAACGGAGCAGGTACCTCCACGCCGTCGGAACTTCATGTGCTATGGATGTGGAGAGCGTGGGCACATACGGAGCGACTGCCCGAAGAAGATGAACCGCCAGGACGCGGCGGTCTCAACTTCTGACCAGCAGGGAAACTTAAATCCAGCCAGGGCTGCGGGGTGGGCGCTGGCTGGTAGTGGAACAACCCCAACAATCTACATCAAGCAAACCAACGATGAAAATACTCTGGTGATAGACGGTCAAGTAAATGGGAAAAACAGTCAGCTAACATTAGATACTGGAGCTTCAAGGACGGTGATAAATGTTCGGCTGCTCGAGCAAAACATCAGGAAACACCTTAAACCAATTGTTGGCCTATAAATGAAATCAGCTACCGGCCAGTGCATACCGATAAGTGGAAAACTGCATGTAACAATCAAAATTGGGGAACGTGTTTATCGACATGAGGTTATTGTGGCCAAAATTCTGGATGACTGCATCCTGGGACTTGACTTCCTGCAAGGGCACCAGTGTAACATCGACTTAAAATCTGGAGTTTTACTATGTGGAACTGAGGAAATTCCGATGAAGGGTGGAACCCTGGGAAAAGTTTGCTGTTTAAGAAGAACTGTTCTTGCACCAAAATCACAGACTCTCGTACCAATCGCATTACCTAGGAGGAAGGAAGGAAGTTTACCTCGAAGGTGCGCTGTGATTGATAAATCGGAACACGTAAACTCATGGCTACCGGCAAGAACTGTCGTGGGGTCATCTGATGTCAACCGCATTCCGGTATTCAACTTCAGTGATTCAAAAATTACGATTGAAGAAGGAGAGCCTGTGGGCGTATTGGAAGAAGTGGCCTGGATAAGAAAATGCTCGGAGAATCTTGTGAAGAAGGACAGTACGGGAATTGACTTTGTAACGAAAATCTTAGACGAAAACAAAAGTCTGACAAAAGTGGAGACTATGAAAGCTAGAAATTTACTTCTTCGATTCTCTGATGTGTTTTCAAGAAGCGATGGTGATATTGGCCGAACTGGTTTGGTGAAGCATAAAATAAACACAGGTGATACAATGCCAATTCGTCAAAGGCCCAGACGCATACCATTCGCTCGTGAGAAAGAGGTTGAAGAAATGATTGACGATATGAGGAAAAATGACGTGATAGAGCCCTCTTCTAGCCCTTGGTGTTCACCTGTCGTGCTTGTCAAGAAGAAAGATGGTTCAACGAGGATTTGCGTAGACTATCGACGATTGAATGATGTAACCAAGAAGGATAGCTACCCGTTACCAAGAATCGATGACACACTTGACATATTGAGTGGCATGAAATGGTTTTCAACGCTCGATCTGAAAAGCGGCTATTGGCAGGTGGATTTGGATCCCAAGGACAAGGAAAAGACCGCATTCTCAACTGGGAAGGGACTCTGGCAATTTAAGGTGATGCCATTTGGATTATGCAATGCACCGGCAACTTTTGAGCGTTTGATGGAACATGTGCTGGCGGGACTGCTGGGCGAAACCTGCCTAGTTTACCTCGATGACATCATCATTGTTGGACGGGATTTTGACGATCATCTAAGGAAATTGGAAAAGGTACTCGGCAAGCTGCGTGGAGCAAATTTAAAGTTGAGTCCAAAGAAATGCTCTTTCTTCAAGCGCGAAGTGAATTATCTAGGACATGTTATTTCTGAGAGAGGAATTGAGACTGATCCAGCCAAGACTGCCGCTGTTAAGGAATGGCCAACACCTAAAGGCAAAACGCAAGTTCGGGCATTTCTTGGATTGTGCTCGTATTATCGGCGGTTTGTGAAAGGATTCTCGGACATTGCCAAGCCATTGCATCGATTGACAGAGGATAAACGTGCCTTTGTTTGGGACGAGGATTGTGAGCAAGCCTTTCGAGAACTAAAAGAACGGCTTTGTAACACACCAATTCTCGGATATCCCAGCGCGAAAGGAATATTCGTAGTTGATACGGATGCCAGCAATATTGGAATAGGAGGTGTCCTTTCACAACGCGATGGTGAGCAGGAGAAGGTTATTGCT